AGATAGGCCTTGTTCCTCCAGTTGTCAAGCAGGTAACGGTTATATTAATCACCATACCCAACATAACACACATATTCATACCCCAGGTAAAGATGACTATTCCTCAGGGACAGCACGGTCCAGATCCATGAGGAAGATAAGCATGTCTCCAATTGCCTGATGATCTGTATGGCTGCCAGCCTATTTTATTATGAAGGGCAGTGTATGTTCCTTTAATCACACCCCTAGTTTCAAATTTTGCCCTCTCTGGTTTGATGAAGATAAAAACAAGGTCTAAACCATATACTTCTTAATGGTTATTTTCTTGATTCACAAGTTTTTATCCAATGTTCTGAAATAATCACTTTCAAAAGTCTGATTTAAAATCATGAACAAGGTATCTTTCTTGCTCCCATTCTCAGTGTAGGTATGAGTTTGAGGAGTCACGTGTGAGTGCAGGTTCAGTTATGCTAATATCTATTAAATTTTTAATCTAGTCATTATGACTAGATGAAATGTTTCTTCAGATGAGCAACACAATGAACTTACTCCCCTTAGGATGGGCACATTATTTCATTGTTTCTGTATTCATTAGACCACCCTATTTTATATGAATATCCACATTTTTCAATGTTCTCACCTTCTCTGAGGCACTTCACTCTCATCTTGTGTCTTCTTTCTGCTATGTGCTTGAAGAGTTTGCCATCATCTCCTCCCTCCTCTACCTCCAACTTTGCAAACCAGGATCATTAATTTAAATACAATGATTGTCAGAATGAGCCTTATGCTCCTGCTAGTCTCTATAGATTAGTAAAATTATATTGGTTCATGGAAAGGAAAGCAAAAGAGAATTCACTTTGTCCAATCAATTTTAAATTAAAGGAAAACACATAATTGAGGCTAACAGGTTAATTATTTAAATGAATAAATATAGTAAGAAATAAAGAAGCACAATTCACTTAATAGCTACTAGAAATTATTATCATAATTCAAATGATAATGAAGGTAAGCTATTCAATTTACACGTGTATTACATGCTTAGGAAAATTTATTTCTCAGTCAACAAATGACAGAAACATAAATTTGAGAGCTATGTAAATGAAAAGGATATCAATAAATAAGAATGTTGTCAATCACTGTAAAAGCTCTGAGATGAGCTTTTTTAATTTTGTATGAGCAGATACTTCCCAAGTTCAAAAATGCCAAAATATTAACTGTGCTTTTTAATTACACAATATCTTATAATTCATGGAAGGAAAAATTGAAGACTCTAATAAATTTCATGTAAATTCTAACTGCTTGACCTAAATTCTCCAGACCCAGTGGAAGATGATCATAAAATAGCTAAAATAAAAAGTTAATCTCCAAATCTGAATCACTGTAACTGAATCTTCATGGAAAATATTTAGCCATATTAACATTATATAAAGGAAAGATATTATTAATTCAGTTTCCACCTTTTAAACACTAATTATTAAAAACTGATTTACCCCACATAAACATATACTCATTCTTAATTGCTTGGCTTTTGGAATACTTTTTATTTTAAAATTGTGATTGCAATAGCACATATTAACATACATTTCTAATTCAGCAATAGTGTCCCAAAATCCTAACCAGAAGGATAAAAAAAAGGCAGAATGTATAATTTTATCATTTCATTTCAAAGAAAAGTTCAACTGTCTTTTTAAAGCAAGGAAGTGAAACAGACATGTAGTCTCTGGTATGGTTAGATTCCCATTTGTAGTTAGTTATGCCTTTGAACTCCACCCTGTTGCCAGATCCATTACGTGGGGAAATAGCTGAATGACCAGGAAAATATTTAAGGAACCTGAGGTCCCTGAATGCTAAGGCAAAATGGGAACTTGAAAAGAATTTGTCAATTTGATTCCAAAACACAAAAGTAAAAGGAGAGCAGCTGACTGGGAGAAAGGAGCTGGAAAGAAAAAAAAGTGGCTGACATTATTTCTAAACAATAAATTCTATAATGGAAGAGAACTATCAGACATTGATAAATCTGAATTATTGCACTTACACTGGTATAGAAATATTCGCCAATGTTTTTAAAGGATAGACAAAGCCAGTCGTGGAAAGACGTAATTAAGTGTCACTGTCCTGAGAGGTTGTGTGTTATGTGTTCTGATTTCAATTGCTCCATATTGAAGATGAGCTGTTATTTTGAGGCATCAGACAGAGCTCCATTATTTTACATTAACTGTGAAAAGTCCTGCTTAATTGTCCTAAAAATCACTAAAGTATCAAAGGCTGTCACTTTTCCAAGTCTTTGGGGACTCATTGAGTAAATCTGTATCTACATTATCTAAGCTACAACTACTTGCACTATCTATTTTGGGACTTTTCTAATTCCAACACACCACTCAAGGGCAGTGCAACAGCTGCTACTGTAGCTGCTCATGGTGTAGATGCATTCTAGTTTTAAAGAGAGGTAATAATAAAGATTTGTTTCCTAATACTGTTCTTGATGATGTCCAACATTTTTTGGCATTTTGACACTGAAGTTCATCAGGAAGCTGAAAAATATTAATTTAACCAGATATTAAAATACATTATAAAGCTAGATCAATTTAAGGTGAAGTACTCTCACAAAATTTAAAAGTTGTAGTTTCATTATATTAGTATGAAATATCATAGCTCAGAACTAGTAGATCTGATCATATAAAAAAGCATATGTAAGATCATATATAAGATCAATATATAATAAAGAAGTCATCAAAAATCATAAAGGGGAGACTTCTGCTTCCAGAAACATGGTGTTGACATTCTTTTACCTATTCCCCCAATAAGTAAAACTAAAAACCTTGGACATTATATACAGAACAAATGTAATAAGACTCTGAAATTTTGAGAGAAGAAGGCAGCTCAGCTAGGAACCTTGTGACCTAAGGAACAGCACTGTGATGAGTCCCTTGAGTTTCCTTTCTGCTTCACATATCCCATACTTGGAGATAAAGAAGACAAGTCAGAAACATAAATAAGTAAAAACCAAAATGGCATAACAAAAGCCTGCTCTTTCTAGGCAAGGACTGGGAAAGGGGCAGCCTATCAAGACAGAAATCATTTAGACAATAAAGGCACTAGTGCACCAAACACACACAAAATCCTATGGCTCCATTTCTACCAGTGCCAAGCAAGGCTGAGTGGGAAACCTAGACTTTCACACTCGCCTGGCTCTAATGAGACACTTCACCCCACTCTTCCAGGATGGTGTCAGAGAAGGCTGGATAGGAGACAGGACATTCATCCCATCAGTCAGTAACATGCCTCACCTCCTGCCAGAACATGGACTTCCATTCCCACTTGACAGTAACAAGGATCCCCTACAGTTCTCTGCTGGGGTGCTGTCAGAGAAGTCCTAGTGGAGAGTCAACTTTCATTATCTCCCAGCAATAAAGAGGCCATAAACCCCTGGCATCCATAGAAACCAAGTGGGGAACCGTAATGAGGCACACTCATTACTCCGTTCAAAGAAGTCTCAAGGAAAATCAAAAATTTCTATTAAATGAATGAAAATGGAAATACAACACACCAAAATTTGTGTTACACAGCTAAACCAGTGTTGAGAGGGAAATTTAAAGATCTAAATGCTTACATTATAGAACAGAAAAAAGTCTCAAATCAACAATCTAGCTCATACCTCAAGAACCCAGAAAAAGAAGATCGAAGTAAACCTAAAGCAAGAAGAAAAAAAGAAATTGAAATTTAAAACAGAAAAAAGTAGAAAAAAAGTTAAGGAGACAAAGAGTTGGTCCTTTGAAAAGATCATCAATATTGACAAAATTCTAGCAAGATTGACAAAGAAGAAAAGAGAGAAGACACACATTACAAATACCAGGATTGATGTAGTGGATAACACTACAGATCCTATAAACATCAAAAAGATAATAAGAAATAATACACACATCCATATGACAACTTACATGAAATGGGTCAGTTCCTCAAAAAGCACAAACTATCACAATTCACATACTATGAAAGAGACAATTTTAATAGCTCTATAACTATTATGGAAACTGAGTTTATAATTTTAAAACTCCCCCAAAAAGGGCTCTCCTGGCACAGATTATTTCACTGGGAAATTCAACCAAATATTTAAAGAAGAATTAACACAAATTCTACACAATTTCTTCCAGAAAGGAACACTTCTCAATTCATTTCATGAAGCTAGTATTATCCTGATATGAAAACTAGAAAAAAATATAGTACAAAATAAGAAAACTATGGACCATTATTCCTGTGAATATAGATACAAAAATTCTTGAATAAATATTGGCAAATAGACTACAGCAATGTGTAAAAAGAATCAGGCACCCAGGACCAAGTGGAATTTATTCCAGGGATGAAAGGCTGGCTGAACATTTGAAAATCAATTAATGTAATCCATCACATCAACAGGCTAAAGAAAAAAATCCCATGATTCTATCAATTGATGCATAAAAAAACACTTGACAAAATTAAAATTCTTCATTATAATGAAAAAGATGGTAATAAAAGGGAACTTTTTTAACATGATAATAAGCATCTACAAGAAAACCTACAGCTAACCTTCTTAACAGTTAAAGACTGAATGCTTTCCCCCTAAGATCAAGAACAAGACAAGAAAGGATGTCTGTTTCACTATTCTTACTCAGTATAGTGCTGGAAGTTCTAAAAAGTACAGTAAGGCAAGTGAAAGAAACAAAAGGCATACAGCTTGAAAAGGAAGAAATAAAACTGTCCCTATTTGCAAATCACAAGGTTATCTGTGTAGAAAATCCCAAAGAATCTACTGAAACCTCCTAATAGTAATAAGTAAATTCAGTAAGGTCACAAGATAAGTGAACAAAAACATTTTTATTTCTACATCCTAGAAATGAAAGAGGGTATATCACTACAGACCCTATAGCAGAGAAAGAAAGAAATCAGGAAAAAACTCAAGTCAGAAAAAAAGGTAGGTAAGTTACTCCTCAGATAAGGCGGCTCCAACGCAAAAGCATGTTAAATGGAAGTGTTTGAGAATAAAGAAACCAAACGTAGAGAATGAGTGCTCATATCCCAGTGTAGATATGTTTCTTAAAGTTATACCAGCTTTTTGTAGCTTCTCTCCAGCGCTCATATCCCCACTATTGTCCTCTGCCTCTAGTAGGATACAGATGCAGTAGTGGAGAAATACAATAATTAAGGGACAAGTGGACTTTTCTAATAGAATTTCAGGGAGGTGCCAAGGATGGTAACCTGAGAGCTAGTAGCAGTGTGTCTCAGGAACACTCACCCTTCTTATCATAGAGAGGAAACTGGAAGGGTCACAGTCCAGCAGTTGCAGGGCCAATGAGAAAAGAATAGCAGTGCTTATAACTTGCATTCTGACTGCAAGTACAAGCCAATGTGGCCTAAGGAAATTCTTTTCACATGTTGAATTACAAAAGATGGGGTAAAATATTATCTGCTAGGGCCCGTATTCAGGTGAGGCTGAGTCATGTAAGTGCAGGATTGATTGCTTTCTTTACTTAAAATTTTGATATTTTGTTCAATTTGAATCTTTGTTGCATAATTTTGATTTTTTAAACGTATTACATTTAAAATTCTTTCTCTTGACTGCTGAGTTTTTTGGTGGCCCCCTAAATTTTGCACCTAAGGCAAGTGTCTCACTCATCTCACCCCAGACCAGACCCTGTCATCTGCAACAGGTGGGCCAGCAGACACATATAGATCCCAGGACAGAACCAATGGGAAAGTGTCAAAAGAAAGAAAATGAGAAAAGGAATGAAAAAAAGCCAACAAGGTTAACCTGAACACTTGAGAAGAAAACATAATGGGAGCGTACCTGCCAGTTATGGAATTTCTACCCTCAAAGGCAGATTTTAATGCAGAATCCCATTTGTTCAGGCTCTGGAAGACAACAGTAAGAACTACCATTTAATGAGGGCTTATATAATGAGGGGCTTTAAGAATCTTATTTATATCATCATAATTAAGCCTCACTTTTACTCTATTAAATATTAAATATGCATTAATAACCCCCAGTTATGCATATTAGGAAATTTAGGCTCAGTTAAATACATTTCCCAAGGTCATGATGTTTGTAAGTGGAGGAGCGTGGTCAGGACCTATGTCTATTTGAATGCAAAATTCCACAGTCCTAACCTCTGCCCCACACCAACCTACTAACAGAGATAAGAGAGTATAAGAGTCAACAGGAGTTGCAGAATGAGGGCTGAATAATAAAAATTCAGTGTTTACCTTTTGAAAATGTCTTTCCCTCTCCCTAAATAGTGTACATCTAGCACATGTTCCCAAATTGGGAAGAACAAAACCTTGTCTGAACTTCAATCAGTCATAGGCCATGTGCATTCTCAAAGCTGGGGACCATCTAGTTACCCAACCAAACAGGGAAACAAATGCAGAACATAGGGAGAAGTAAGAACTACAAAGTATCAAGGCTTGCTCTGACCCTACCCAATCAGAGGAGACCTAAAATGATCAGTGTAACATTAGCCAGGGAGATTGTTGCGCAGCGCATCAAAGATTTCTGAGGCTTAGGGACTTGATTCTGTTGGTTAGAACACCTGCTAACTCTGCTGGCATAGCAAGAGGAATCCAGGACTGGAAAGTGAGACTATGATATGGTTATAGGATGCTTTTTCTCTTTGTATATCTCGTATGTCTGGACATATCAATACAGCACACTGAAAGCTAAATAAGCTCCACTGAGTCTGACCAAATGAGATCAGTAACTCATCACAGTCCACAAAGACAATTCTTTTTGGCTCTTCAGTCTATATAACATAAAGTGAGTGCTTCTGTAGAAATGTGAATAATTCTGAATAAAGCTATCAGAGAGCATATCCCTATAGTGCCAAAGGGAATTTTTCAAAAGCATCTGTTAGAAATACCAGGATAACAACAACAGTTGGTGCCAAAGCCTTCTGGTTTTGTAGGAAAGAAGTTTAATGTACATCAGAATTTAGATTAATAATAACATTAATTGTTAATATAAAAAAGCTTAGCTATCCAACAATGTAAAGAGTGGAGAATACAGCCTTTGTATTGTTTTAATTAGAAAATTTTATTTATGCAAAAATCCAACTAAAAGGTTAACCACTCATAATGCTTTGTTTTAGTAGTGAATTATTAGAGCTTAGTAAATGTTTATTATAATAATGATAATATCAATTTTAAATTTTCTTAAAAGCAAGTATACTTTGAAATTAAAAGCTACATGGGGTTCTATATATTTTGCTAAAAGGTTAATATCAATTCCTGTTAAGCCACTTCTCTTTTTAAAAAGATTACACTTAAAGAAAGATATTCTTCAGCTTACTCTTGGGGGAAGGAATTGGAAAAAGAGAAGCAAAAAAAACCATGCAGCATATACCATGGAGTAACACTTATTTCAGCTTTACTGCCTCACCCCCTGCTCCCACATAAGAAATCCAGAGTGGCTGGGGTGCCAATGAAATTGAATGCAGACATTTTAAGGTGGTATTCTATAAACAAAGCACAAATTTTCATAAATATCCAGAGTAATCCCATAATTATCAAGTCCTGGTTACAATCCCTGCCAGGGAGACAGGGCTGTAAAGAAAACACTGCCATACCCATAGTGCACAGACATGACTAGCAGGTTATCCTCAGTAGGAAAATTACACTCCAAGAAGCTGGAAGTATGTAATCCCAAGGGGCACCATTCACACTGTAGTCATCACAAATGGCAACCCTTGGAGCTGGGCAGTGTACATTCTGCACAGCTGTAGGCTATGACCCTGGACACACTGGTATCAGAACACTAAAATACATGTCATAAACATAGCTTCTTAAGACGAAATCAGTGCTACTTTAGAAGTGACTTGAGCAAAATAATCAAAGCTTGGCAGGCAAAGCAGAAAGCAGGCTCACTTATTTCAAATCAAGTGTGGGAACATTAAGTTTCTTTCAGAACTATCAATAGTGCTTAACTTAAAATTTCACTTTCAGCCAGCTTTGGTGGCTAAGGTTTGTCCAGTTTGATTTCTATTGACCTTTAATCTCTTCTTCAACTCCTGCTTGTGCCACATCCATCAAATCACCTGATATCATGTGCATCCCAATCTAACAACTGACTCAGTCAGCCTGAGAACCCAGTTCACACCAGACCATCTGCTTAGAAGCCTCAGATAGAGCAGTAGTGCTGGGGGTGGGGGGCAGGGGGTGGGCGGGAAGGACATACAAATTAATATTTAATGCAGTGTTTTAGAGGTAACCAATATGGTGAAATAGGAAGAACCTGAACTCACCTCCGCTCATGAACAAAGATTACAACTATTTACAGGGCAACTACCTATGAGAATGACCAAAGACTAGCAGAAAAGATTTTCTACAACTAAAGACTTGCTGAACTTAGAGTATCCCAAAGAGGCAAGAGGAGCTAAGACCCCACTTAGGGATGAGACACCAGTGGCAGCCATTTTGGGAGCTCATTCCGCCACAGTAACAGCAGTGCTGGCAAGCACAATTTTGGACTCCTCTCTCTAGCATATTAGTGCCAGGGGCTTATCCACTCACCAGGGGGCAAGCACCATTCCTGAGTCTCCCCAGCACCACAGAGACAGCCCATGAGGACTCAACCCTTCTTCCCAGCACACCAGCACCAGCCCTGCTCTACCCTGGAACACACAGCCAATCATGCAAGAAGCCTACCCTTTCCTCTAGCAGGCCCACAGCCACCACACAAGACACAGCCTCACAGCAAACTGGGCAGAGGCCAGACCTGCCCCACAGTATTTGGCCCTGCCACTAAAGAAGGGTACACGCAGTTCACAAAGGGAGCATCCCTGGAGCATATAGCTCTAGTGACCAAGGGGAGCATGTTGCTGGGCCCCATAGGACATCACTTAAATAAGGCCACTTCTCCAAAATCAAGAAGCACAATCAACCTTCCTAACACATAGAAATAAGCATAGAGTATTGGGAAAAATGAAGAGACAGCAAATATGTTCCAAATGAAAGAACAAGACCAAATCTCAGAAAAAGAACTAAACAAAGTGGGTATAAGCAATCTACCCAATAAAGAGATCAAGGTAATGATCATAAATATGTTTACAAACATTGGAGAAGAATAGATGAACACTAAAAATTTCAAAAAAAATGTGAAAATATAAATAAGAACCAGAGCAGAAGAATACAATAACTGAAATAAAAAATACACTAGAAGGAATCAACAGTAGATTAGATGATACAGAGGAATGACTCAGTGAACTGGAAGACAGAGTAATGGAAATCACCAAATGGAACAGAAAAGAAGAAAAAAAAATTTAATGAGGATAATTTAAGAGACCTCTGAGACAACATCAAACATTTTAACATTCACATTATATGGGTCCTGGAAGGTGAAGAAAGAGAGAAAGAGGCAGAGAACTTATTTCAAGAAATAATAACTGAAAAGTTCTCTAATCTGAGGAAGAAAACAAATATCCATATCCAGGAAGCACAGAGACCCAAAGAAGATGAACCTAAAGAGGTCCACACCAAGACACAAAATAATTAAAAAGACAAAAATTAAAGATAAAGTGAAAATCTTAAAAGCAGCAAGGCAAAAGCAACTAGTTACATACAAGAGAACTCCGATAAGGCCATCAGGTGACTTTTCAGCAGAAACTCTAAAGGCCAGAAAGGAGTGGCACAATATATTCAAAGTAATGAAAGGGAAAAAACCTACAACCACGAATACTCTACCCAGCAAGGTTATCATACAGATTTGAAGGAGAGATAAAGAGTTTTACAGATAAACAAAAGCTAAATAAGTTCAGCATCACTAAACTGGCCTTACAAGAAATGGTAAAGGGACTTCTCTAAGCAGAAAAGAAAAGGTCACAACTAGAAATATGAAAATTACAAAAGAAAAAATTTTCACTGGTAAAGGCAAACATACATTAAAGGTAATAAATCAATCACTTATAAACTAATAGGAAAGTTAAAAGACAAATTAGTAAAATCATCTATACCCATAATAAATAGTTAAGGGATACACACACAAAAGAGATGTAAAATATGATGTCAAAATTATCAAACATGAGGGGGAGTGAAAAAAATAGAGTTGCTAGAATGTGTTCAACTTAAGAGATCATCAGATTAAATTAGTCATATATATATGTGTATATATATTAGTCTCATATATATGTGTATGTATATATATATATATGTTATATGTTGTTATATGTGAACCGCAAACCAACCATTTATAATAGATTAACACTAAAGATAGTGATCAAATCCCAGAAGAAGACATCAAAAGAAGAAAGGAATGAAAAAGAACTACAAAAACAATCTGAAAACAATTGACAAAATGGTAATGAGCCCATAGCTATCAATAATTACTTTAAATGTAAATGAACTAAATGCTCCAATCAAAAGACATAGAGTGACTGAATGGATACAAAAACAAGATCCATATATATGCTGCCTACAAAAGACTCATTTCAGCACCAAACACACACACACACACACACACACAGACTGAAAGTGAAAGGATGGGAAAAAGTATTCCATACAAATGGAAATCAAAAGAAAGTTGGAGTAGCTATACTTATATCAGAAAAAATAAAATTTAAAATAAAGACTGTTACAAGAGACAAAGAAAGACATTACTTAATGATAAGGGGATCATTCAAAAAAGAAGATATAACAGTTGTAAATAAATATGTACCCAAAATAGGAGCACATAAATACATAAATCAAATATTAACAAAAATAGGGAGAAATTGACAGTAATACAATAATAGTAGGGGACTTTAACACCCCACTTACATCAATGGACAGATTATTAAGACAGAAAATCAATATGGAAACACTGGCCTTAATGACACATTAAGATCTGATGAACTTAAAAGATACATACAGAATATTTCATCCAAAACCAACAGAATACACATTCTTTTCAATTTCACATGGAACATTCTCCAATATAGATCACATCCTAGACCACAAAACAAGTCTCAATAAATTTAAGAAGACTGAAATCTTATCAGGTATCTTTCCAGTCCCAGTACTAGACTAGAAATCAACTACAATAAGAAACCTGCAAAAAAAAGAGAAACATGTAGAGGCTAAACAGCATGCTACTGAACAACCAATGAATCACTGAAGAGATCAAAGAGGAAATGAAAAATACCTGGAGACAAATGAAAATGGAACATAATGGCCCCAAATCTATTGGACTCAGCAAAAGTAGTTCTAAGAGGGAAGTTTATAGTGAAACAAGCCTACCTTAGGAAACAAGAAAAATCTCTAACAATCTAATCGTACACCTAAAGGAACTAGGAAAAGAAGAACAAACAAAACCCAAAACTAGTAGAACAACAGAAATAATAAAGATTAGTGGAAGGCTAAAAAAAAAAAATTTAGATCAATGAAAGTAAGAGTTGGTTCTTTGAAATAATAAGCAAAATTGATAAACTTTTAGCCAGACTCATCAAGAAAAAGAGAGAGGACCATATAAATATAAACAGAAATGAAAAATGAGAAGTTACAACTGACAACACAGAAATAAAAATGTTTATTAGAGATTACTACGAACAATTATACACCAATATAATGAACAACCTAAAAGGAATGGAGAAATTCATAGAAATGTACAATCTCCCAAGACTGAATCAGGAAGAAATACAAAATATAAACAAGTTAATTATTAGTAATGAAATTGAATCAGTAATCAGAAAATTCCCAAAAAACAAAATTTCAGGACCTTCACAGGTGAATTCTGCCAGGCATTTAAAGACATTTAAATTCTACCAGACATTTAAAGAAGAGCTAATGCCTATACTTCTCAAACTATTTCAAAAAATTCAAGAGGAGGGCCTTCCCTGGTGGCGTAGTGGTTGAGAGTCCGCCTGCCGATGCAGGGGACATGGGTTCGTGTCCCAGTCTGGGAGGATCCCACATGCCATGGAGAGGCTGGACCCGTGAGCCATGGCCACTGAGCCTGCACATCCAGAGCCTGTGCTCCGCAACAGCAAGAGGCCTGCATACCGCAAAAAAAAAAAAAAAAAAAAAAAAAAAATTCAAGAGGAAAGAATGCAACCAAATTCATTCTATAAGGCCAGCATCACACTAATATAAAAACCAGACAAAGACACCAAAAAAAAAAAAAGAAAGAAAATGACAGACTAACATCACTGATGAACATGGGAGCAAAAATCCTCAGTAAAATATTTGCAAATCAAATTTAATAATACATTAAAAGGATCATACACATGATCAAGTGTGATTTATCCTACAGATGCAAGGATGGTTCAATATCTGCAAATCAGTCAATTTGAAACACCACTTTAACAAACTGAAGAATTAAAATCATATGATTATCTCAATAGATGCAGAAAAGGCTTTTGACAAAATTACATCCATTTATGATAAAAAAAAATTCTCAACAAATTAAGTGTAGAGGGAATGTACCCCAAAATAATAAAGGCATACATGACAAACCTACAGCTGACACCATACTCAATGGTGAAAAGTTGAAAGTATTTCCTCTAAGATCAGTAACAAGACAAGGATACCCAGCATCACCACTTTCATTCAACATAGTATTGTAAGTTCTAGTCACAGTAGTCAGACAAGAAAAACAAATGAAAGGAATACAAATTGGAAAGAAAGAAGTAAAACTGTCACTGTTTGTAGATTACATGATATTATATATTGAAAACCCTAAAGACACCACCCAAAACTACTAGAGCTCATCAATGAATGTAAAGTTGTAGGATACTGAAATAATATGGAGAAATATGTTGTATTTCTATAAACTAACAATAAACTATCAGAAAGAGAAATTAAGAAAATAGTCCCATGTACACTGTATCAAAAAGAATAAAATACCTAGGAATAAATCAAAATAAGGAGGTAAAGGACCTGTACTCAGAAAATTATATGATACTGATGAAAGAAATTAAAGACATGTGCTGCATTGATGGGATAGTGGTGAGCATAGCTGCCTTCCCAAGAAATTGAAGATGTCACAAACAAATGGGGAAATATACCATGCTCATGGCTTGGAAGAATCAATAGTGTTAAAATAATTGTACTACCCAAGGCAATCTACAGATTCAATGCAATCCCTATCAAAAAAACCAATGATGCTCCTCACAGGACTAGAACTAATAATTCTAAAATATGAATAGAAACACAAAAGACCAAGAATAGCCAAAACAATCAAGAAAGCACAACAAAGCTGGAGGTATCACTCTTCCTGATTTCAAACTATACTATAAAGCTACAGTAATCAAAACAGTATGATACTGGCAAAAAATGGACACATTAATCAATGAAACTGAAGAGATTCCCATAATAAACCTATATAAACTTATATGGTCAATTAATTTACAACAAAGAAAGCAAAATTATACAATGGGGAAAAGACCACCTCTTCTATAAATTATGTTGGGGAACTGGACAGCTATATGCAAAAGAATCAAACTGGACTACTTTCTCACACCATATAAAAGATAAACTTAAAATGGATTAAGCACTTAAATGTAAGACTTAAAACCATAAAACTCCTAGAAGAAAACAAAAGCAGCATGCTCTTTGACATCAGTCTTAGCAATATTTGGGGGGATCTGTCTCTTCAGACAAGGGAAACAAAAGTGAAAAAAATAACAAATGGGACTACAGAAAACTAAAAAACTTTTGCACACCAAAGGAAAATATTAATAAAATGAAAAGGCAACCTACTGAATGGGAGAACATGTTTGCAAGCAGTACATCTAATAAGGGATTAATATCCAAAATTTATTTAAAAACCAACACAGTCAACATCAAAAAAAAAAAATTAAAAAACAGGCAGAAGACTTGAACAGATGTTTTCCAAAGAAGATATACAGATGACCAGCAGACCTAGACGCTCAATATCTCTAATCATCAGCAAAAAGCAAATCAAAACAGAATGAATTACCACCTGAAACATGTCAGAATGGCTATCATCAAAAAGACAACAAATAAGACAGGAGAAGCAAAAAGAACTACAATCCTGCAGCCTGTGGAATGAAAAACACATTCACAGAAAGACAGACAAAATGAAAAGACAGAGGACTATGTACCAGATGAAGGATCAAGAAAAAAAAACAGAAAAACAATTAAATGAAGTGGAGATAGGCAACCTTCCAGAAAAAGAATTCAGAATAACGATAGTGAAGATGATCCAGGACCTCGGAAAAAGAATGGAGTCAAAGATTGGGAAGATTCAAGAAATGTTTAACAAAGACCTAGAAGAATTAAAGAACAAACACCTAGAAGAATTAAAGAACAAACAAACAGAGATGAACAATACAATAACTGAAATGGAAAATACACTAGAAGGAATCAATAGCAGAATAAATGAGGCAGAAGAATGGAGAAGTGACCTGGAAGACAGAATGGTGGAATTCACTGCTGCAGAACAGAAAAAAGAAAAAAAGAATGAAAAGAAATGAAGACAGGCCTAAGAGCCCTCTGGGACAACATTAAATACACCAACATTGGCATTATAGGCATCCCAGAAAGTGAAGAGAAAGAACCCAAGAAAATATTTGAAGAGATTATAGTCAAAAACTTCCCTAACATGGGAAAGGAAATACCCACCCAAGTCCAGGAAGCACAGAGTCCCAGGCAGAATAAACCCAAGGAGAATCATGCCAAGACACATAATAATCAAATTGACAAAAATTAAAGACAAAGAAAAATTATTAAAAGCAACAAGGGAAAAACAACAAATAACATACAAGAGAACTCCCATAAGGTTAACAGCTGATTTCTCGGTAGAAACTCTACAAGCCAGAAGGGAGTGGCAGGATATATTTAAAGTGATGAAAGGGAAGAACCTACAACCAAGATTACTCTACCTGGCAAGGATTTCATTCAGATTTGATGGAGAAATCAAAAGCTTTACAGAGAAGCAAAAGCTAAGAGAATTCAGCACTGCCAAACCAACTCTATAACAATGCCAAAGGAACTTCTCTAAGTGGGAAACACAAGAGAAGAAAAGGACCTACAAAAACAAACCCAAAACAATTAAGAAAATGGAAATAGGGACATACATAACAATAATTACTTTAAATGTGAATGGATTAAATGCTACAACCAAAAGACAGAGGCTCGCTGAATGTATACAAAAACAAGACCCATATATATGCTATCTATAAGAGACCCACTTCAGACCTAGGGACACATATAGACTGAAAGTGAGGGGATGGAAAGAGATATTCCATGAAAATGGAAATCAAAAGAAAACTGGAGTAGCAATACTCATATCAGATAAAATAGACTTTAAAATAAAGAATGTTACAAGAGACAAGGAAGAACACTATGTAATGATCAAGGGATCAATCCAAGAAGAAGATGTAACA